TTAGCTATCAAAGTCAGTATATGTATATGGTTATCTATGGGCAAGTATCAGGCACAATACCCAGTGGATCAAAAATGCTCAGTTACGACAATATGAATTAAACGAAACTTCACTTTACTCTCAGATTTCAAAAAGAAGCTTGGTTAATGGTCACACATTTTTAGAGAAGGGGTATGCAACTTACAATTTGCTTCAAGTGTATAATCAGGTAAGTGGGATGAATAGAAGGACATTGTTGTTGGGCAACATTAATAGGAGTCACGTGTATAATGTGTATGTGAATTCCCAAGATAACCTAATGGATCTAATTCATAAACCTGCCACATATTACAATTAGATTGTGGACACATTGTGTGGTATATGTAATAATTAGATACATTCAATATGATAATGTTTGATTATTGTTAAAGTCATGAATAGTATTTGTTACAAGGTTTAACAGTGTGTTTGAAGAAATCCCTTGTATTAAGAATAAACATTCTTGCATGTTAAGTAAAGATCTGTAGTCAAAAGTTTATTTACCTCCTTTAACAAGAATTATCTATACAAGGCTTACTAAGCATAGCAATTTGTTGGCTCCTTCTAAATTGTATAAAATTGGTAACATGATGAATAGTGGAGGGTCAAACTATACTAGTGTAAGTTAAAGGGACACTATAGTCACCCAGACCACTTCAGCTCAATGAAGTCGTCTGGGTGCAATGTCCCTCTGGTTTTAACCCTTCACATGTAAACATAGCAGTTTCAGAGAAACTGCTATGTCTACATAGCAGGGTTAATCCAACCACTAGTGGCTGTCTTCCTGACAGCCGCTAGAGGCGCTTCTGCGATGCTGGATGCAAAATGCGCATCCAACGTGCACAGCGGCCATAGGGGTTGACGTCAGTGGGGGAGGAGAGATCACCAGCGCCAAGGGAGCCCGTCGCTGGATTAAGGTAAGTGGCTGAAGGGGTTTTAACCCCTTCAGCGCCACGGGAGGGGGACCCTGAGGGTGAGGGTCCCCCAAGGATTATATAGTGTCAGGAAAATGGGTTTTAATAAAATGTGTGAAATTATTATTTTTATTTATTTTTTTAAATGTTTTATTTTTTGTGCATCAGAGGAACAAACCGTCTTGCGCTGCCCCGACCGCAGTGGCAAGTGATTTGGTAGACATAGTTTAACAGTGAAGGGCATGTGATATTACAGCACATTTTTGGATAATAATAAGTTTTGCATGCGTAGAGCGACATAAGCACGGTATTATGTAGATATTTACTCAGGATGGCAAACATGTCTAAACACTAAGCATAAAGTATTTAAACTGTGAACGGGTTGGTTCTAAATAAATAGTGATCAGTAAGTTATGAAAAGGTAGTGTAAGTCTCAGGTTTAGTCAATAACATATAAAGTGGGTTACCAGTTCGAGCAGAGTCACCATGAGTGAATGGGCCAAAAGCTAAAGTGTAGTGCCTGAGTGTTGAGGTAGACCTGTTATACAGCATTATTTAATGCTAACTGACTGCCCAGGTAAAGAAGGCTGTCCGTGTCGAGTAGGTAGGGCATACAGGGATTTAAAAAGATAGGCGCTAGTCATGGAAAAGAGTATTTGGTTTTAAGTGTTAAATGTCATGTTAGTTTAGGTCACGGATGTGATGCCAAGGTGTCTGGGCATAACTGGTGGCGGGTTTAACCCCTGGTACTCTGCTCTGGTCGTGTAACCTGTGTGGGTATGTGCTGAAGCCGGCAAAAAGGATAATTCAAACAAAGGGTTAATGTAACATAAATTCAAAGGTAATGTCTGACTAAGGAAAAACAAGACCTTGGATGGGGACACGGATACCGTGCTCGGGGATATATGGCACTGTCAGCCAATGCGGCGGCTTGGTGTGGCCGTGGGGCCCCTGGGTGCCACTGGGCTTGTCCGGGTGTGCTCCTATGGCCTTGCTGGGCGCTGGTTGCGCTCACCAGCCTGCAGAGTTTGGCCTCCGCTGGGTACCGGAATCGGTGCACCCCAGCTGTGAGGTTTCCAGAATGAACCCAAGTCCAATCTTCCCAAGGAGCGTCTGGAGATGTGGTAGGTCGCTTGTACCCTTCTGCCCCGGTGCTGTGCGAGAGCTGGTGCCACAAGCCTGGGATCCGTAGCGGCCCAGGGTCGTCCCTGCCGGGATGGTGCGGCGGGTCATGTTCTCTGTTTTCCATCGGTTACGTCTTGCCCCACTCCACCGGTGTGGCTGGCTCCTATGGGGTGCTACCCCTGTTGAAAATGTGTGAAATGTATATCTTTCTCTAATGAGCCTTGATAAACTGCCTCATAGATTTACTTGTAATAGCAGAACTTTACTGTATATTTTAGAGTGTGACTGCGGTTTGCAGTACGTGGGAACCTGTCATGAGTTAAACTACTTTAGCTCTTTTTCAAATTACATCTATACATTGTGCTAGCAGTTTTTCTTGCAAATGTATAAATTGGGATAAAAAACAATTTTTTTTTTCTTTCATTTATCTCTCGTTTCTCAGATCCCTCTGTTCTCCACCAATTGGCAACTATGCTCTATGATTGTTATGGCAACTCCCTAGCCAGAACTACTAGCGCAAACAACAGAGGAGCTAGGAGCCCAGGCGGGCTGGAGGTGGGTGTTACAGACAGATTTATGACACCACTGCAAATATATTAAACAGAAAAAAAGTGTAAATATGACATAAGTATTCAACCCATTAACTTAGTTGAAGCACCTTTTGCAGTGACTGGGTTCAAGTCTGTGCTCTGGCTGAGCCACTTAAAGACATTTACAGAGTTGTCTCTTACATTGTCTTGGCTGTGTGCTTCGGGTTATTGTCCTGTTGGAAGGTGAACCTTTGACCCACTCTGAGTCACGAGCACTCTGGACCAGGTTTTCATTAAGGATATCTGTGTTTTCCTGCGTTCAGCTTTCCCTTATGCCTGACCAGTCTCCCAGTCCATACTTCAAAAATATAACCCCTATAGCATAATGCTACCACCACCATGCTTCACCATTAGGATGGTGTTACACAGGTGATGAGCAGTGCCTGCTTTTTTTGTAGACATGATGGTTTGAATTATGGTCAAACAGCTCAAACTTTAATTCATCAAACCAGAGAATCTTGTTTATCACAGTCTGATAGTCCTTTGGGTGCTTTTCTGCAAATTCTTAGTACGCTTTACTGTGTCTTGCAGTAAGAAGAGGTGGTATACCTGTATACCTCCAGTGGGGGCTTGTCTGTGGGCAGCAAGGGACTTAAATCAATTGAAAAACCATTTGCTTTTTCAGGGAGCTGTTTAAAAAAAAAAATATATAGCCATGTCAGTATGAAACACATCTATCCAGTGTTTTTCCAACCCCCCACAATATTAGTACGTTTATTGTTAAATCTCCCCTCCTCATTCAGAATATTGTAAAGTGCTGCGGAATAAGTTGACGCTATATAAATACTACTAACATAGAAACATAGAATGTGACGGCAGATAAGAACCATTCGGCCCATCTAGTCTGCCCAATTTTCTAAATACTTTCATTAGTCCCTGGCCTTATCTTATAGTTATAGTTAGGATAGCCTTATGCCTATCCCACGCATGCTTAAACTCCTTTACTGTGTTAACCTCTACCGCTTCAGCTGGAAGGCTATTCCATGCATCCACTACCCTCTCAATAAAATAATACTTCCTGATATTATTTTTAAACCTTTGTCCCTCTAATTTAAGACTATGTGCTGTTGTTGTGGTAGTTTTTCTTCTTTTAAATATAGTCTCCTCCTTTACTGTGTTGATTCCCTTTATATATTTAAATGTTTCTATCATATCCCCCCTGTCTCGTCTTTCCTCCAAGCTATACATGTTAAGATCCTTTAACCTTTCCTGGTAAGTTTTATCCCGCAATCCATGAACCAGTTTAGTAGTAATACTACTAATATTAATATACATTCTTAAGAGGTATATTCAATAAATAGTAGGTAAAAAATAAAAATGCATATTTTTAACTGGTGCTGTTATCAATAAATGATGTTATGATACACAGGATGTGGGGAAAATGTTAATTAAAGCAGCCAAAGTGTTCCTTAGATCCTAAGCCCTGTTTGACTGGGAGCCACCACACGTGTCCCTCCTGGACTGGGACTATTTCTAAGGCTGTAATTTGCAGATTTAGTTTCAGTTGGACTGTTTACAGCCCATAGTTACTTTGTGTGTGCCATCACACTGTATGTCGGTCCTGCCCACACCTGGCACTGGATCGAAGGACACACAAACCATACTGACTGCTTGTTATAAAGGCATAGTGGGTGATGACGTTTTTTGTTTACACCGCTAGCCCCGCCCCGTCACGTGACTGGCAGTTACATTAGGCGCTGTCAGGCCGCTCTCCGCAGTTAGTTCCGGGTGTCGGGATGACTGAGGCTGTATTCCACGAGCGGCAGCGGCTCGAGCTGTGCGCGGTGCACGCCCTCAACAACCTGCTCCAGAGGCCGGAGATCAGCCAGCAGCTGGCGGAAGACATCTGCCGGGGGTGAGAGGGGAGACCTAGTAACACTGGGCCCATAGCGCTCGAGGGAGTGAATCCCGGGCGGACTACATTTCCCGTGATGCTTAGCTAAGGCTTAACAATGACTGCCTTGGGTACCAGCTGGCTGCCAGGCTCCTATTAGGGATACAGGCAAAGTGTATGGGGGGTGGCATAACAGTGCTCTAACTATAGCATTACCGACCAATCTGAACGAGCTACTATGGCTTTAGTTTTCTAAACTATTACTGCACAATAAAACTAAGTGAGCATACAAATAAAGTAATTTTTTTTAAAAAAGATAAAATTTTATATATATATATATATATATATATATATATATATATATATATCTATATATATATTTGACCAAAAAAAAGTTTATTAACAGGGTATCATGGTTAAAAGGCCTTGGGTGCTTTTCAAGGTTAGAAGGCATCACCTGAGCACCGGAACTTTGGGCAAGAGGCAAAAATGTGAAATATAACTTAATTAAAACCTTTTAAAGTTTAAACGAGTTATGGAAAAAAATTAACTACAAGACGAGAAAATGTATTCTTTGCGTCCAAGACCCTGGGACAACCTGGAAAGTGGTGGGTTTAGGAGATAAATCGGTTAACTACTAAATGCTGAATTTTAGTAAATTGAAAGCTATTCCCACCTAAATATTGCAGTTTAGTTTTCGGTTCACTAAAAATTTGGGGGAGGCTTATCAAAGTATCCTGAGAAATGTCTTTTATTTATTTATTAAATTGTTCTTTAAGTGTTGTATAAACGTGGTGACTCTTCTCCACCTAAGTTTATCAACTTTACACAAAAAAAAATTAATTTCCAAAAGATCTCCACGTTTTGGGGGGGGGGTTCTAATGGAAAAAGTGATAGATTATTAAATTCATTGTGTTGCCCAAAAAAAGCATATTGTAAAATATGACAGTACAATAGAGGTAACAGACAAAAAAATTCAACAGACTTAATAAGCTAAGCTAAAAAAAAAAGTGCTAAATTGTCTGTCACTACTGCAACTAAATCTCCTCTTCTGTTTTTAGTGAATAAACTCCAAAGGAGAGAGGTTAAATTTTGAGAAAGTATTCTCTACAGGGAATGCTTAAAATGCCTTGGATTCCATATAATATTGTATAGATTGATTCAAGTGAGTAGCACATGGATGTAGTCTATTTAAAACATGGCTTGTAATAGATATATATTTTTTATGTTCAGTCTCTAAGGTACTATATTTTTCGGGCTGACTAGTTATTTATTCACTTTAACGGTGTATCATTTAAAATGGTCTCTTCAAAATGATTGCTTCTTCCTCAAGCAGAGGTGACATTAAAGATCCAACCCTAACAAACTACTAAAGTAATAATACTTGAAATGTAAATGACTTAATTTTCATGACAAACTTTGTAATAGCTCACTTGACTGTATAAGTAGTTAACTGCTAAATTGCCATTCTCATGTTGTTTCTCTTGTATTTTTTACTTTTAAGGTTGTCACCAAACACCATGATTAACCCTCACCGCAGCATCTTGGGAACTGGTAATTATGATGTTAATGTTATAATGGCTGCTCTTCAGACATTAGACTATGCAGCTGTGTGGTGGGACAAACGAAAGTAAGTGAAATAGTCTTGCTTGGAGACATGTATATGTTTTTAATGGTGAATAACAAGTAGAAAAGTTTTAAATGTGGAAAACCATTTGTACTATAACTAGCCTGTGTAGGTAAACTGATTCATTACACCTGTCTCGCATACTTCTTACATGAGGGTCATATGCAGTGAAGATGCTGCAGTGGAAAAACTGTACCAGTTGTTTAGCCACACTTGGCAAGCATCAAACCTACCATACCAAGAAAGCATAAAATATACTTGGTTTTAGAAAACAAATAACCTTACTATAGATGATAGTTTAACAAATCCAAGGAGTCTGGTTAATATAATTTCTAAATATTAACTTTTCTACTGATCTTTCATGGTTATTCACTAAATTGAATTGCTTAGTATTTCAAAGTAAACTTTTTGATTTTCAGCCAAAGTAGTTGAATTGAGAAAGACAAGTCTACTTATCAACTGTTTGGCTATTTTGGCCCAAAATGTGACATTTTATTTCAATTCCTGATAAATCCACTTGAGTATTAAATAGTTCTGTTTTCTCATATAAACAGCTTGCTACAGTCTTAATCTTACGAAAGATGTTTGTCAGCACCTGGCACAGAGCATTTAAAAAAAATAAAAATTTAAAAAAATCCTTGTTAAGAATACTCCCACTTTTTGAACGAGTGTAGCTTTCTACAAAGTGACCACAGCCAAAATGATGTATGCTTAACTATGCATATAAAAATGCAAATTGAAACTCATTAAAATACACAGAAAACTAGTTTTTATTGCAGTTTATTTTAAACTATACATTGTGCACATCACATTATTTTATACCCAAATTAAGTGTTGCCATTTATATGAATCACACCGAAGAGCACATACTCAATACATCCAAAGGAATTGTGCATCAGATGCCTCCTTTGTATGATGACATGCTAAGGAGCAATTAAATTTCTGAAACTGACTCATGCACATAGTTTGAGTGACACCATCCTACTGGAATGAACATTTTTAGTCTACTTCCTTCAAGAATTCTATGAAAGACCATAGGAGTTCATATAAATTGTGAATCTATCTGGGGCCCTTAGTTGTGGCACATCATAGTGTGTTTGTATATCAAAGAGGCTATACTGATACTGGAATTCTTTATTTTCCTTTAAAATAATAGTTTTTTTTGTTTGTTTGTTTTTTTTATTTTTTATTGAAGAGTCAAATTGTTTAGTATTAACCAGACACGTTTTTTTTTTTTACATTATGAAATGTTTGTTTACTATGGTGATATGCAAGCAAGTGCTGTACTCTGATCTGTTGCTATTCATTGGCTAGGTAATTTGGATTTTCAAGTTGTTTTTAATTTTTATTTCTTTTTTTCCCTTCTAAAAGATCTCTGGAAAGTTTAGTCTTGAGTGAGATTTTTGGTTTCATTCTGAATATCCCATCTCCTATATCGGTGGGATTTCTTTCACTGCCCATCACTCGCAAACACTGGATCGCTGTACGAGAAATCAATGGAGTTTTTTTCAATCTGGACTCAAAACTGAAAGCCCCAGCCAAACTAGGAGGCCCTGTGGAGCTTAAGTAAGTAAATTAATGTTTCTTATGTGCTGGGATAGTGAAGTGTCAGGCAGAAGAAATAAAATCTGATCAGAACATGTCGTTCAAATAGGTCTCCAAAATCCAGTTGACTGCAAAGTGTGCCAATTGCTGATTTATTTATTTTAGTGTACAATTAACAATAAGATGGATTAAGAACGGAGTTTGCTAAACCGAAGCAAAATTGAATGCAATGAGAAAATTTTCCAACTCTGGTATAATCCCAACTTGATTAATTTTGTTTTCAGTTTACCATTAAGACCCTAAAGACTTTTCAGCCCAGTGTTTTGTAACTTCTGGTTCTGGGCCCTTTGTTGCATATTTCTGTAAGCTTGCAATGGTTGCAACATGATCATCAGGCCCCAGGCAATGGACCACAAAAAGTTGTTCCAAGTGCAGTAGACAGCCCTCTGACACCTGAAATACATTGCATTAGCACTGAAGAATGTAATGCCATGTTAAAAGAAAAAAAAATGTAAGTGGCTCTGTCACCTGTGAGTATTTTATAAAGATGTAATCATTACGAAACGCTCATTGAATTAAACTGATATAGCTCCTGGCAGATGAATAGCTAGGAGCTAAAGCATGTAAAAATATGCAGAGACCCCCAAAAGTGACTGGTGAAACTGCCAACAAAACGTATAGATAAAGATACTTATTCTTTAATAACGTTTTGTGCTCATTGAGGGTGCATTGAAATCTGACATATTTCCATTTTTGATAGTGTCCAAAGCACTTTTTAATGATGATAGAGTTCATATGAAATACAATTTCATCTATGTCCTGTGACATTGCCATCACTTGCATGGATGAACCGTTATATCCTTATATCTTGATGAACTCTTTACATTGAGTTCATGAAATCAGAAGTCTAAGGGCAACTGTGTACACAGATGGACCATTTTCCAGTAACTTGGAATCCTCTAAATGTGCCCCTCTCTGCATGTGCATAATTTGTTGGAAGGGAACTGTACATGTATCCAATGTGCCCATTCCCAGAGGTTACTTTGAATGTGAAAAGAAAAATATTTCAATAAGTATATATTTTTGTCTAGACGTTTTTGTTGTCCGTTTCACCAGAACAGAAGTGCCCCAAAGGTAAATCTCCAGATGTTGTAGAGCTACAGCTTCCATGATGCTTTGTCGTTCTATAGGCATAAAAATCATCAAGGGAATTGTAGTTTTAAAACATCTGGGGGTCTACTTTTTGGGCACCCCTGCACTAGAACATTCCATAGATTAAATAAACCTCTTCCTGAATCTATACTTCTCATCCACCAAAAATGAAATTTGTGGGTGACTTTAAATAATGCAAAAAGTCAGTTTGTATCAAAATAATCAAATACAATAAATCTTACATAAACCTTTGTCTGTGCACACCAAACTCTTGCCACTAGAAGCACTTTTATGCAATATCCTCCACATGCCACAAACTAATTGGGGCTGTTATGAAAGTGGCAGTACTTGCGAACAACATCCTGCCAGTTAGTTTTCCTCTTCTGAATTTTTTTATATTTTGGGCTCCAGTATGTTTTGTCTTTTAATGTGTATATTCCTAGATACCTTGTTGGCTTGTTGTCAGAGTTAACTGGTAATTATTGGATGTTGTCTCCATGAAATTGACTCGCCTTAGGATAAAATGATTTACAATGAAAGACTTCTGTGTGTTTCGTCAGCTTATAGCATTAGTCTTTAATGCACATTCCACAAGTTCTATTCTTTGATAATTGCAGAACATGCTAGCAAATACTGATTGAGTCATTGTTTACAACTGTATGAATGATTATTATCCAGTGAGCTCATTTGCTTATTTTAACAACCACCTTTTTAGTAATAAGCACCTATACAATAAGCTGTTAAAATCCTCAGCCATGTGTACAGTGTGAGCACTCCAAAAAGGAATTTCTCTTCCTGAAGGGATCTGTTAAAAAAAAAAAAAACAAAAAAAAAACTGGATACACCATTTAAATAAATGGTGTTTATCCATTGACCATATGGTGACGTATTGATTCCACATTGAGCTGGCACAAGTACAGAAGACTGCTCAAACTGTTAGTCTCTCCTTGAATTGCAAGAACTGCATTAAAGTGGGTGTCCACAGTACACAGAGCTCATGGCAAGTAAAGGTGATTACATAAAGTTGAACTGAATGTGTAAGCTAGACTTCCCCATGTGACATTAGGCATGGATGCTTGGTGGTCTATATTTTGGTCACCTTGTGATGTAAGAATCAGAATAATTACATATTATACAAAATATCCGATATCCCAATCATATATAGGAATAGAAAATGGTTGGGGACAATGTAAGAGGGATTGGAGCAATGCGGATGCAATGATTAAATGAACTAGAGGCCTATAGAAAATTATTATTAATAATATTCTTTTATAAAATTGGGGAAGACCTTTATTCTCACCCATGCAATTTGAGCAGTTCTGATCCACTGCAACCAACCAAATTCAAACCAAAGTTTGAATTCATGAACATTGATTTAATTCCTACCAAATTAACAGTGACATCTACAGCATTAAGGTCAAATACATGGCACAGCAGGACAGATAACAACATATGTGATGCTTATTGTCAAGCACCTTGTAGCTGTGTGAATATGTAAAACTTTTTATAGTCTGTCCTACTGTGCTGTTTAGTCCACAAATTACATTGCTGTGCAGTGGATTTCTTATTTTTTTTTAATTTGGATAAATAAAAGCAGATGTTAACCGTACTGAAGTTGTTAGTTGCTTTATGCTTTACCTGTCCAGTTCAAAAAAACTGAAATGCAACATTATACCTATTCACTGCCCATTTCATGACATTGGCACCATAGCCTGCCGAACAGGATTTCTTATCCCAAGAATGCCTCAAATACTTTACACATGCTCTGACCTGTGAGGTTATTGCATCACATGAGCCAAGGTATGTATTCTGGTAGAGATTGATATTCATTCTAGGGAAAACTGTATAATTTTGTTGGTGAAAGAAAGATTAACTGTAATATAACCTCATTGCATTTTAGTTTGTAATGCGTAAATATAATCACATTCTATCAATGTCCACTTGTTGTTTTGTAGGATTACAAATGATCAACTTTAACCCCTTAAGGAATAAACTTCTGGAATAAAAGGGAATCATGACATGTCACACATGCCATGTGTCCTTAAGGGGTTAGAGTTGATCCAACCCTTTGTAAGACATCTGTTTCATTTACCTTACAATACCCTATTGGGAATGAGAGCACGTGTATTTTATAGTTAAAAGAATACTTTAATGTCATGAATAGAAACTTACAGGTCTGTTCCTCCTCCTTTTTAATTTTCAGATACAGATAAGGTGATTACTCGCCTTTTTCCACTGCTGCGCAGGTCTGGTCACAGAAGGCTCCATCCCATTTGGCTGAGATCATGAAACTTGGTGATCTCAGCCAATCCAATGCTTTTCCATAGGAGAGCACTGGGAGGCTATTGCGCATGTGCAGCAAAACACTTATCTGTGCTAAACAGCAACTCCTTATAGACATATTGACTCAATACATCCTTGAGGAGCGTTCAGTGTCTCCATGCAGAGCTGCACACTGTGCAGCACTGACACAGGAGTGACTGCCACTGGTGTCCCTAGACAGTAATGTAAAAACTGCCTATTCTCTGAAAAGGCCGTGTTTACATTAAATTGCCTGCGGGGACATGCTGTAGTCACAGAACACCTACAATAAGCCGGAGTTGTTCTGGTGACTATAGTGTCCCATTAAGAAAAAATACTAGACCTGTTTTAGATGTTAATCTGAGGTGTTTAAACTGGAAACCTATAAAGCATTGTCTGATTTTGTGATTTGTCCATTTATTTTCTTTCTTGTATTGCAGAGGATTCCTGCAGGAGTGCATTGCTAGAGGTTCATGTGAGATCCTGCTTGTCGTTCGGAAGGATGTAGAAGAAGCAAGACTCTGGATTAATGATGTAGGAGAGATGTGACCATGAAACCTTGTTTTAACCATGGACATGTTTTTCTGCTTCCGCCCTCAGCTGTGCTGAGTTCTGCAACTAAAACTTTTAAGTTATAATACTGGGTCTGTCCCATAGGTTTATTTATTGGAGCTGTAGCTCCGCTGCCAATACAAGTCGACCTTGTAAATGCAGATAACCATAATAATGCTAGTCTAAACTCTTGCATTAATATGCATTTCTTACAATGCCTTAACTGTCTAGTCTTTTTCTACCACATGCTGCATATTAATAAGCCATAAAAGCTGAATATTTATTTGTAATAATATTAAAGGTCTTTTAAATGAACTCCATGTTTTGGCCGATCTTCTGAGTTTTGTTGATGTATCCAGAAGACAAGAGAATTTGAGCTTTTTTTAAATCTAAAAGGGACACTGGGATAATCCTAATGTGTTAATACGGATTACTTTTAATTTAACCTATTTAAATGAAGAATATATTAAAAGACCTTGCACTTTTTTATTCTCAGCCAATAAAGAACATAAGGAGACCCACGCTGTCCCAGCAAGGAAACCATGTATAATAAAGGAACCATCACCTTTGAGTTAAAGTGACTCTCCTTACTCAAAACAACTGTCTTAATGAAGGTGTCTTTATGTGAGGAGCCCCTAAATCAGGAGTAGGCAACCTACGGCACTCAAGGCTGCTAGAGCCAAACAGGCTCTGGCCTATCAGGAGTCCCAGTAAAACTTCAGATATCTGCTAATGCGAAAAGGTGGTGAAGGACAATTCTCAATTTATGCATTGCAGCCTGCAGCTGCAGCTCCTGTCCTTGAACTGTACCAGGCCAGCCTGGTCCCCACTGGAACCCAGGGAAGCCACCAGCACTGCTAGATATACACAGAAATGCAGAATAACCCTCCCTCATACAAATAATACAAACAGCCCACAAACAAACATACAAACAATCCACACAAACTTAACCCGCTAGCAATCCACATGCAGCCTCTCACATGCAATGCTCCAAACAGCCCCCACACACACTACCAAACACAAAATGTGACATATCCATCCACACACTATTCCACAAGCAACCCCCATACACAGCCCACATTCATATGTATCATACACGATACCGTAAACTACTAATGAACATATACAATATAATAGCTCCTATACGCACAAATACAACAATACAAAGCAATAACACAAGCAGAATACGGCAGCATACACACCTCAATTAAAAAAAAAAATAGGACCGGCACGCTATGGGACATCACACTCCAGTGCTGCTAAAAAGTTGCCTACCCCTGCCCTAGATGCTACCTTGCCTTAGGGGTTAAACTGCTTTTGCAAGTTAGGATCCAATTTTGGGGTTAAACCATTCAAAAATTGTTCTAAAAAGGTTTAACCCTCTGAGGTAAGGCAGCACCCAGGGGCTCCTGATCTAAAAACAACTTAAAGGGGCACTCCAGGCACCCAGATCACTTCTGCACATTAGAGTGGTCTGGGTGCCAACTCCCATCACCCTTAAACTGCAATACTTACCTTGCAGGGTTAAGTCTTCCTCAAGTGGCTGTCTATCAGACAGACACTGGAGGGACCTCTGGGTTCTTAAAAACCGAAAAGTGTTTTAACCCCTTAAGACCGGAGGGCGTACAATTGTATGCCCTCCGGTCTTTCATTACTTACCCAGTCGCTGGCGGTACCATGCCGGCGATCGCGGTGGGGGGGACTCCCAGGGAGCCCCCAACCCCACAGCAGATCTTCCTCCTGGCAGCCCCCCCAGCCATGTGAGAGTGAGGTCCTTGCGAGGACCTCACAATCACATGGCCGGGTAGGCTGCCTCCTGCATTGCCAGCTGGGGTCTGCCTGTAATGACAGGTGGTCCCCCTGCTGGCTGAAAATAAAATAAGTGTAAAAAAAAAAAAAGTATACTTAGATTATTTTATATATATATATATATATATATATATATATATATATATATATATATATATATATATATATATATATATATATATATATATATATATATATATATATATATATATATATATATATATATATATATTCTCTCTGTATTTTACTATTAATATAGATAAATATCAAATTACATGTAGACTGATACTGATTAAATATATAATTATTGATATAAATATTTATATAATATAAAAAAATTAATATGTAAATATCGTTAAATAAAATTAAAAATAATTAAATATAGATGTGTTATTTTGTTCTAACTCTTGTGATATTAATATATTTATATCAAAAATACGTGAACAAAATATATATATACCTATATATAAATAAAAATATTTTTTTAAAATTGTGTATGTATATGTGTGTGTATATATATGTGTATATATATATATATATATATATATATATATATATATATATATATATATATACACACACATAGATTCACATACGCGTATATATACATATTAATTCTACATATATTTATGTAATATTTTTACATAATTAGGTATCTTAATTAATTACAATTAGCAGGACCTGCCTGACAACCCATACCGAAAGTAAAGGGAATTTAATTTGCTAGCACTATATTTAACCCTATAACTTTCCAAGACACCATAAAACCTGTACACGGGGGGTAGTGTTCTACTCGGGAGCCTTCGCTGAACACATATTAGTGTTTCAAAACAGTAAAATGTATTACAACGATGATATCGCCAGTAAAAGTGAAGTTTTTTGCCTTTTTCATGCACAAACCGCACTTACACGGACGATATTATTGCTGTGATACTTTTTACTGTTTTGAAACACAAATGTGTTCAGCGAAGTCTCCCGAGTACAACCATACCCCTCATGTACAGGTTTTATGGTGTTTTCAAAAGTTACAGCGTCAAATATAAGGCTTGTGTTTCATTTTTTTCACATTAAAATTCGCCAGATTGGTTACGTTGCCTTTGAGACCCTATGGTAGCCCAAGAATGAAAATTACCCCGATGATGGCATACCATTTGCAATAGTAGACAACCCAAGGTATTGCAAACGGGGTATGTCCAGTCTTTTTTAGTAGCCACTTAGTCACAAACACTGGCCAAAATTGGCGTTTTTTGCATTTTTCACACAAACCAATACTAACGCTAACTTTGGCCAGTGTTTGTGGCCAAATGGCTACTAAAAAAGACTGGACATAGCCCATTTACAATACCTTGGGTTGTCTACTGTTGCAAATGGTATGCCATTATGGGTGTAAATTTCATTCCCGGGCTACTATACAGTCCCAAAGGCAACGTAACCAATCTGGCGAATTTCAATTTCAAATGTAATGTGCTATATTTGACCCTGTAACTTCCCAAAACGCCATAAAACCTGTACATAGGGGGTACTGTTTTACACCTGAGACTTTGCTGAATACAAATGTGTATTTTATTGCAGTAAAAGCAAACAGTATTATGACTTTGACAGTTAAAATGTCCTGTAGAACTAAAAAAATAAACGTATTTTCTCCCATTTCTTTTCATATTAAATTGTTTCATAGCTAAATATTTGATATTAAATGAAAGCCCTGTTTCCCCTGAATAAAATGATATATAAGGGTGGGTGCATTTAATATGAAAGAGGTGAATTACGGTTGGACAGACAGCGCAAATGCCTGGTTATGTTTACATTTTGTTTCGTTCACAACGTGTACATTTGGCTCCGTCCTTAAGGGGTTAAACTATGCTGGACGTCCTCACGCAATGCATGAGTACCTCCAGCGTTGCCGAAATCCCAATAGGAAAGCATTGCCGCGCGTGTGCATTAGGTCTCCCACGTCGGCGGGGTAAGAGGGCCCAGTCTGACCCGGCACCGAGGGACATCGGCGCTGGATTCAGGTAAGTCACTGAAGGGGTTTTAACCCCTTGAGCAACATGGGATTGGGGGTGGGATGGACGGGGGCACTGCAGGATCCTGCAGTGCCAGGAAAACTGAGAGTCCCTTTAATTAAGATTAAGTTATTTCGTGGAAGTAGTCTTTTTAATGACTCGGTCAAGTTATGTAAGTTAGCTGTGCGACTTTTATTTTAAACTCTCTTTACAAATACCATGGTCTTAAAGTCTAAACATAAGGACTCCTCAAAAGTCATAGAATTATTATTAGTCTGTTCATCTAATTGTGACAATTTTTATTTTTTCTATGATCCTCTCAATAATAGATAAATTAGTAACAATAGTACTAGGAAAGACACACAATTTCAAGGATTGAGTTAATTATTTTATGTGCATTAAAACAAAGACGGCAAAAGCTCCTTGCCTATGACAAATTCACCACTTTTGGAGTGGATGAAAAACTTGTTATAAAGACCCTATTTTAAATAATTTTTTTTTATCACATTAGAAAACACTAATTTGTGAACAAAATTAAGAAAACTGACACCATTGCAAAATGCATAATAAGCCAACATGACACTTTTTATACACAGGGAATTGTGGCACACGTCTGGGTGCTTGTGTATACAGAGAATCATGGGAATATGGGGCCCAGGGCGTTGAGAAGATGTGCTAAGAAAAAAATAGAATTGTCACCAGCAAAATAGTGGCATTTTTGTGACATTATTAACCCCCAAAAATATACAACACAATATCTTGCCAAGTGTTTCATGCTGTGTGATAGAGGAAGAATTCCATTCTTGGTTTATTCCTGATTAACACCACAAAGGATGAAAAACACCTGGAGCAGCAAAATCCTACTATAGGTACAAATTACATGCACATATTTTCCTTTACTTAGAGATATTGCCCTCCTTAAGAAGCACTTTCTAGCCAGGCCCCAGTCAATAAGGCTGACAGCTGAAGTGCTTTGGTTCCAACAATATTCTTATGAACTGTAGGAAAGTCACAAATAAGTTCCAGGTCCTCATATGTGACCAAATGGTTGGTTAGTAAGTTCGTATTCAGGTAGAACATTTTGTTGACAAGTTGTGCTAGCCAAATGGCTAACGGATGTATGGTTTACATAATTGATTTGTGTATATATAAATATTCCAGAGCACGGTCTGGTAGTCACACTACATACACATAGTTGGTGACTGTAAAAATATATTCTCAACCAGCCAAATTGCAGTTGTGTTGGATAATTGTTCACTAGAATCTCTCAGGACAGAACATAGTGTTGCTTCACTAGGACTGTGAGTATTTGAGCTTTCTGTTGATTTATCTTGATTTCGTCTGTTTGCTTAGTATAATTTGTTTTGTAATATATTTTTATTTGACATATATCCCCTTTATGACTAAATGGTTTGTTCTTCCCTTAATGGGATACTATAGTGCCAGGAATACAAAGCTGTATTCCTAGCACTATAGCTCCCTCTGCTATAGTGGTGTGTGAATTGGGTCATTCCGTACTCCGGAGATCTAGCTGAGCACAATTTAATATGTTGTTTTTATTAAAGTAGCAATTTTTCAACTTTGTTTTGGGAGGGGAGGGTGGTGCTAAAATGGCTGTATAACAAAGATCAAAATAGATCATGACACACCACATGAGGTTTACTTTAACAAATGGTAGGTCGTTGTAGGGTTACTTGAAGAATCAAACCACAATAGTACCCCAAAAGGAGCCATAGACCTATCAAATCCATCTATCAGAATCTGAACTGTTTAAAAAAAAAAAAAAAATTGTCATGTCTCTTATCTGGAACTTTAGAATACACTTAAATGAAAATGTGAGTTTAAAAAAAAAAAAAATTAAAAAAATTAGGAAAAAACAAAAACACCATTTCACTCCAATCCTCAGTGCTGACTCTTGCGTGACTGTGAGAGTTAACACGGAGGTCAGTGGGTGCTACCATATCCCCTGGACATGAGTGGTTTCACGCACACGACCAGGAAAGGGTAGATAATATAGGGTGGAACTACAATCTCAAAACTTTTTATTAGAGGTTAAAGGGACACTAATCATCAGAACCACCTCAGCTTAATGTAGTGGTTTTGGTGTAACCACTGTAGTGTTTTCATTGGTGCCTGGGATCACCTCTAGTGGCGGTCACTCAGATGGCCACTAGCGGTGTTTCCTTATCCAGTGCTGCTGCATAGTATGCAGCACTGGCGTTCAATTTCTTTTATACTCTGCATGGAGGTGTTGAACGTTCCCCTTAGAGATATTTTCTCACACATGTGCAATAGTCTCCCAATGCTTGCTTATTGGATTGGATTGGCTTGGCTGAGATAATTAAGATATCTGAGTGAGCCTGGTTGCCTAAACAGCTACTTTAGAACTATAGTGGCAGGAATATAGTTCGTACCCCCGACACTAGAGTGTTCCTTTAATGGTTGTGCATATTTTTCTTTAGTTTTCAATTGATAAAATTAAGATATGATTGTAGGCATTTGGTATCACCATTCCCAAGTACAGGTGAAAGCAAACAAACTTCAATTTTTTTATTTATATATTTCTTTAATCACCATACAAAAGATTATTCTCAAGTACACAGTTGTGTAATAGGACAAATTCATATCCACAAGTAGACTTAAAATGTTTCTTCATCGCTCATGTTGTTTTTCTGAGAAAGTGTTATATCGCTGTAAAATCACAAGATAGAAAGTTAATGAGCATGAGCTTAATGTAGAATTTAGAGTTCAAAATATTTTTATTCATAGAGGAAGAAGGGCTGACCTAGGTTGGAGACCCAAGTGGGTTCCTGAAAAATTCCAGGCCCGATTAGAGCTTTTATGTTTTCAATTAGCTTTTTTACAAAGTGGCTTTGGTTACACTATCTGATGTACATACAATATTATACATAGAATGAACCGATCAGGCATATAACATGGCATCGCTCATTTGCATTAGTTGAGGTCTCTTGGTGTTAACAGATACATCATATTATTTGACTTGTTAGTTTTAACAGTATCAAGTTACAACCTATCAGCGGAAGCCCAATTAACCAAATCCTCTTAACACAACAGAATAAAAAAAAATAAATAATAATAATCGCAAACTATTAAGTAAGTGGGTAAAGATTTTTATCAAGATCCTACCATCCTGACTCAAACTTTCTCAGGGGTTTGTGTGCAACTGGTGTTGATGAACTTTAGCCACATCTCAGGCCCTGGTAGTATGCATATTCTGTGGTTTAAAGTTTATACAAGCTGTTCACCATCACCTGATTAATTAGCTTTTGGTTTTGTGGGATGATTTTATTTGTTTAATTACATCTTTATTAATCTTTGTTAAAAAGTAACACATTTCAGAGTAACAATATTATACAGAATAAAGAAAACCATAAATGGGTTATTTTCGTAAAAATATCATTAGCGTTTGTTATCAAGATACAATTTGACCTGTCATGACAATTTAAGTCACACCAGGTCAAATGTCTTGAATATATCAAATGGTTATTTATCAATAGTTTAACACAAAATATTTTTATAATTAGTACATCGTAAAAACCTGGATCTATCTGTTGGCCTCTCAACAGCAAAATACAGACATTGTTCAATTTTTCGCACTATTTAAAAATGGCTGAAATATGGATCTAGATCAGTTAAAAGCCGGATTTCAGAAATCTATACGATTTGCCAGCCAGTGGCCAAATAGTTTTGTTTTTTGTTTTTTTGTTGTTTTTTTAAACGACATCTCAGCATTGCGAGGGTTAAAAGTATGGAGGTTGTCCTGCACTTGCTAGCCAATTGGCATTTATTAAAAAAAAAAAAAACATTCCATTGGGGTCAAAAAGACCCCCACATAATTAATGGGATAAATAAATACTTTGACAGGTCACAGGTGAAGACTATCTATATTGCCAGTGGAATGAGGTATTAGAATGAGAGGACCATTACATGGTTCACCTTTATCCTACTCTACTGCCCAGCAGTGAAGGGCTTAAAAAGAAAAGAGTGCTCTAAAGACCCTATACTATTGGGATTGGACTTCTAAGTTCACAGGGAGATTCGAGTACCCACTCATGGGTCAGTGGCGGATCGGGGCAATTTAGGGTCTCCCTCTCCCCTGCCAGCACATGCAGGTGCCAGCCCTGCAATGTGCCTTCGCGGACCAGAGGGGAGATAAGTGATCTCCTCCTCCCCGGTCCGCAGGCACTGTGCTGACAGCTGGCAGGGTAGGGAGGAAGGACCCGGGACCTCAGCCTTCAGCTCCTCCGGGTCCTACTCTCGCGAGGACGGAGCGTTGCCGCGGTTACCACGGCAACTCTCCAAATCTCGCGAGAGTGAACTCTAGCCCTGGAACTACGGGCTAGAGTTCACTCTCACCACTGGGACCACCCAGGATCCAGAAATGTCCCCCCTCCTCCCAGTAAAGGTAAGGAGGGAGGGGGGCCATAAATATTTGTTTTAATTAAATAAAAATATATATATTTTTTTTTTTATTTTTTTTTTTATAAAGCCCCCCTACCCTTCTTATCACACACACACACTGCCCCACACTCACACATTGCCCACACTCACACTGCAATACTCACATACATACTGTCCCACACATACACTGCATCCCTGACATACACTGCCGCCCTCACTCACACACTACAACCTTCACACACAAACTGCACCCCTTACACATTGCACCACACACACACCACTGCTCCTATGCCCTACTACAGCCCCATTTCCCAGCAGACCTCAGGTAAGTTGTCAAACTGTTCTTAAACAGTTTGACTACTTACTCTGGGAGGGGGTCCCGCCACTATTGACACCATAACCACTACACTGAGCTGTAGTGGTTATTGTGTCTGGATTATTTCTTTAAATAATCTACAAGTGGCCCTCCCGAGATCAGGCTCTGGATCCGCCACTGCCATGGGTATATGGTTGTGGGGGGTGTATAAGTCTTGCCCTCCACCTGATGCCTGTGAGTGGTTGTCAAGGGAAGTGGACAGTGGCATGCCAATCATTTATTATATTTATATATCCTCCCACCTAATGCCTACAGATCGGGGCCGGGGACACTACTCTCATGGGTCGATAAATCTAATAAAGGGGGGGGGGGAGTGGATATGCCACTGTCCACCCCCTTTACCCATTGGCATCAGGTAGGGGTTATTACAATAATAAAGGGGGTGAACATGCTACTGTCCACCCGCTTATCCTCCCACCAAGGAAGGTTATTGCGACAATAAGGGGGGTGGACATCCCCAAGGTCCTAGTCACCCTCTTTAAATTTGTCTCTACATCCTCCATCACCCTAATAACAGTGGGAGGACTCAATATGCTTCTTTTGTCTAATTTCTTATTTTTTCAGATCCAAAAAAAGGCCAAATAAAAATGCATAATTTGTGCTGATTCTTAAAATAAAATTTTAAAGAAATACCCAGAGTACAAAGAAAAAAAAAGAAAAAAAAATACAATAAATGAAAAACCGCCTTACAAAAATTAATTCAAGTGAGCCAGTGGAGGGCTCCACACAGACTGATGATTCAAGGTGACATTGACAATTAAACATAGCACTCTAATAAGGCAAGTCAAAGCATTTTTTATTTTTACAGCTAGCCAGCCACTGAATAGTAAACCATTGCCCTTCCGAAAGTTTGCTAACTATTTGCCTGCTAGCGATACCAGTGAAAGAATAGTGCAGAATTCTTTCAAATCCCTAGCAGAAAGCAAGTTACTTTTTTTGACCAGATGTGTCAGTCTCAAGACAAAATCTGGCCAATATACAATTTCCATTTAATGTTTGGCAAACGTAAAAGCTTTCTGTTTGTATCTAAGATCTTAATATTTGTATCTAAGGTTTGAGGTGTTCATTTGGTTTTATAAATATATTGAGACAATCTCAAAGATTTCTGCAATATCAACAGTTTGAGTTGTTGTTTTTTATGTACCTTGTTGCAATTTTGATGAAATTATCCCGCATGAGAGAGTCTGACACTAACCAAATCAGGTATCCTTTTCCCCTTTGCGTCCAGAACATATAGGTAATAAGTGCTTTATAACTCAGATTGGGAGTGTGTGCAATTTGTCAGATAAACACCTCTATATGTTGCCATACTTTTTCACCAATGCTTGTTTTTTTTTCTACTGGCTTTTTTTACCATGAATACTTACTTTTAGGAATTTGGCAGGCGAAACCATCACATCCGGTTGGACAGCATTTCAGGTCCCCCTTACATTTTGAGTCAACTGAGCAGTGAATTGTACTGTCACAGGTGGTGCTATTTGAATTCTCAGGGCAAATTCCTGGTTTTTCTAAAAGTAGATCAAGAAAATATTTTAAGATAAAACAGCATTTTTAATCACGAGCGTCAAACACATAAACACATGTTGACTACTATAATAATGCACTGCCTGGCCACAAGCCCAGTCATCAAGACAGTGGTTAGTAATCAAGCACTAATGAATGGCTTTGGGTACGTTATAACCACAGACTTCAGACACAGCATGTTCGTAAACAGGAAGCAATGTATGACAATAGTGGACGAAGCAAGCAGATACTTAGGTAATAGTCAAAGGAGGAGTACTTGAGAATATGTGACAGAATGAATACTTGGAGCAGATTTACAATGGCGGCTGCCTTGGGACAGAAAAGAGATTAAATTCTTATGCAAAGTGTAGCAAAAAAAACTCCAAAAACCATGTGATGACATAATACATACTTTTGATACATCTAGATTTCTACCACCTATAAAGTCTATTTTTCTATAAACCAGGTTGACAGCTACTAGAAACTCTTCCTCCTTAAAGGAACACAAACATATATTCCTGACCCTATCGCGTTAAAACCACCATATAGCCCCCCTCTGACCCTCTCTTGCCTCCTTAAATATAGTAAAATCTTACTTGTATTCAAATCTGCAGTTGTTTGCTCTGCCCTAAAACTACCTGCTGACATCAGAAGTGGTGGTCTGAGCCAATCACAATGCTTCCTCGTAGGATTGGCTGAGACTGTCAAGGAGGCAGATTAAGGGCATAGCCAGCCCAAGTCAAATACAGCCCTGGCCAATCAGCATCTCCTCAATGCATCTCTATTAGGAAAGTTCAGCGTCTTCATGCAGAGGGTGGATACACTGTGCAGCACTGACCCATGAAACACCTCTAGTAACCATCTGAGGATTGGCCAGTGGAGTTATCACTAGGCTGTAATGTAAACACTGCATTTTCTCTGAAAAGACAGTGTTTGCGGCAAACAGCCTGAAGGGAATGATTCTACTCACCAGAACAAATATTTTAATCCATCAAAAACCCAAGGGGGAGCAGTAATCTAAATAAAGATGTATCTAGCTCTATATAAACAAAATAGTGCAAAAGTAAACAAACAGGCTTATGAACGGTCAGGTAAAAAACACTTAGTGAAGGCAACCTCTATAAAAGGATGACTCTCCAATCCTTAAAATATACATGCAACAAAAGTACGTACAGAAAACCCTACATGTAGTAGAGGATGCCACATCACCAGGGTCAATAAATTGTACAGTTACCACTCTGGTATTTGGATATCGGTTATGAAACATTACACTGAATTAGAGATGTTTGCATACATTAAAGGAACACTATAGGGTCAGGAACACAAACATTTATGTATGACCCTATAGTGTTAAAACTACCATCTAATCCCCTGGGTCCTCCTTACCCCCATAAATATAGCAATATCTTACATTAATTCCAGTCTGCTGCTGGCTCTGTCCCTGATCTGCCTGACATCATCAAAAGTGACAGGAAAGCTTTGGATTTACTGAGCTTGTCAAGAAGGTAGGTCAGTGGCAGATCCAGCACAGGTCAAACACAGCCCTGCCCAATCAGCATCTCCTCATAGAGATTAATTGAATCAATGCAACTCTACGAGGAAAGTTCAGTGTCTTCATGCAGAGGGTGGAGACACTGAATGGCAGTGCTGCTCACTGTGCAACACTGACCCAGGAGGCAACTCTAGTAGCCATCTGAAAAGACAGTGTTTACTGCAAAAAGCCTGAAGGGAATAATTATACTCACCAGAACAAATACAATAAGCTGTAGTTGTTCTGGTGACTATAGTATTTAACGTAGATAAAAACAGTAATCGTGTAATCATAGTGTAGTAAATCAATTTAAAAGATAGATAAAACAGTTAAAAAAACAACCAAAAAATGAATTTCACATATACAAACAAATGTGCAAATAAAACAGTGCCACCAAGAGCTCCATCCCACCGCTTAGGTTAGACTACCTTCTCTTGGCATCCAGGATTCGAAGTCCCAGTTCATATACCTGGCTCCTCTCCAACAGCTAGCTATCTTGTGGGAGTCTTAGCTCAACGCGTTTTGTCCCTTGTCCTCGGACTTCATCGGGAGATGATTTCTCATCTGGAGTTTAACATTGAAATACTTCATTTACCACATTCACATGATCCGGCACATATGCAAATCGGTCCCGACACTCAGTAAAGCGCTGAATCGTATGGATGCGGGAAAGGGCGTATTTAAATTCTGAACTCTAAGTGGGAAAGCAACTCCTGAGGAAGTCCAAGGACATGGGACGAAATGCATTGAGCTAGCTGTTGGAAAGAAACTGGGCATAAGAAGTGTGACTTTGAACCCTGGATGCAAAGAGATGGTAGTCTTCCTAACTAAGCGGTGGGATTGAGCCCATGAGAATTGTTTGCACAGGAGAATTCAGAGGATGTGTAAAAAGAACAACTTATCAATAGTGTAATCTTACCATTTGGCGTTTGACATTGGTACCCATCGCATCCTGTTCGGCAGCATTTCAAATTACCAATGCATTCACTATCTGTTTTACAAGATGTCCCACACACTCCAAGGGCCAAGCTTACAACAGGAGGACATACACCAGGTTTGTCTGCAAGAAATAGAGTTCACTGAGGTCAAACATAGAATAGAATTGAGCATTCTGTGGAGAGGTGAAAATCCCGATCTCTGTGTATTGAGCGGATGTGAAATGGGTGCTTAATAGAGTTGAGCGAACCCGGACTGTAAAGTTCGGGTTCGTACCGAACATTACGTTTTTTTGACCCCGGACCCGAACATATCACTGTATGTTTGGGTTGGAGTTCGGTGTTCGGCGATTTAATGGCGCATTTTCAAAGGCTGCAGGGCAGCCAATCAACAAGCGTTTGACTCATGTGCCCTTAGAAACCATCACAGCCATGCCTACTAATGGCATGGCTGCGATTGGCCAGTGCAGCATGTGACCCAGCCTCTATAAATAAGCTGGAGTCACATAGCGCCACACGTCACATGAGCTCTTATTAGTGTAGGGACAGGATGCTGCCGTTTTCAGGGACAGATTAGGAAATAATTCTGCAAACTAGTACATTAGTGGGGTGCACTTCATATCTGAGAGTCAAATAGAAGCAGCAAATACTGCGGTTACATCGGAGTTTTAAAAAGTAAATTTCTTTTGGTGCTAAAAAAGTACATTAGTGGGGTGCTCTTCATATCTCAGAGTCAAATAGAAGCGTCAAAGAGTGCAGTTACAGCACAGTTGTAAACATTCTAATTGTTTTGGTGCTAAACTGCTAAATAGCAAATTCGGGGCGTGCTCTTCATATCTGGAAGTCAAATAGAAGCGTCAAATAGTGCACTTACAGCGCAGTTGTAAAAATTCTAATTGTTTTCCTGCTAAACAGTACATATTGGGCCTGCTCTTCATATCTGAGAGTCAAATATAATAATCAAATAGTGCGCTTACAGCGCACTTGTAAACATTCTTATTTTCTGGGTGCTAATCTGCTAAATAGTACATTTTGGGCGTGCTCTTCATATCTGAGAGTCAAATAGAAGCATCAAATAGTGCGCTTACAGCACTGTTTTAAAAATTCGAATTGTTTTGCTTCTAAACGGTACATTTTGGGCATGGTCTTCATATCTGAGAGTCAAATAGAAGCGTCAAATAGTTGTAAACATTCTAATTGTTTTGGTGCTAAACTGCAAAATAGTAAATTTGGAGCGTGCTCTTCATATCTGAGAGTCAAATCGAAGCGTCAAATAGTGCACTTACAGCGCAGTTGTAAAAATTCTAATTGTTTTGGTGCTAAACAGTACATATTGAGCGTGTTTTTCATATCTGAGAGTCAAATAGAAGTGTCAAATACCTATATAACAATATTGTAATTCGGGGGCAATACCCTCACAAGTCAAACTGAGAGGTCAGTTTATAGGGAAAACTGTTGCCTGGATACAATTCTAAAACAATTTCCATATGTCCTTTGCAGACTTTACATGCTGGAAAAACACAGGTGCCAACTGCTGTGGCTTTCTGCAGTGTGCAGACCGGCAATGAAGGCAGGGTTAAGGAGTGGGTGGAAGATGATGTGGAGGATGAGGTCCTAGACCCCACATGGAATCAAGTTCATGCGAGTGACGTGTGCAGTTTGGAGGAAGAGGCGCTGGTCGCACAGAGGCACCAGCACAGCATAAGAGGGAGAAGGGTGCAAAAGCGGCGCAGCCGTCCCCTAGCGCTCGTCGGCATGTATTATCTTTAGAATTCCCACAGTAATTCAAGTAACAAATGAAACGATAAAAGGAACCATAACAGACTTAACGAGCCATTCGCAGTTTCGCAGTCCGGTGACCGGGACCCAGACACTGTCTGGGCAGCAGTCGGAAGACCGGGACCCAGTATGCATGATGTTGAAGTTAGGAGTACTGGATACCAGAAGCCATCAGACTGATACGCAACTTGGAACAGGATGTGACATACACTGTAGCGGCTGTGCGCTCTCGCCGTTCTCACCCTGCTGCTGCAGCGTAACTTTTGCCTTCCAGTTCACCGCCTCATATGCGACGTGCCCACAAGGTGGAATTCCACCTTGCACAAGCTGGAGAGACTGTGCGAGCAGCAGCAGGCGATAGTGGAGTTTCAGCTGCAGCACGCACGGGTCAGTCGCTCTGCACCAGACTTGCCCTCCAGTTGATCAGAGTTAAAGGATTTCAAGTGGACTCATTACAATTACAGAAACCCTGATTCCCCGTTATCAGTGGTCACCATGGTAGGTGCAGTAAATGGCATCGAAAGTTGATATGGATTGACATACGAATGCGTTGTCGTCTTGTCGTTGGGGAGCACATTGAAAAAGTGCTCTAGCATGACGAGCTGGGTGATCTTCTTCATAACTTGGCTTGATGGGAATTGAGCCAGTTCTGGGTGGCCCTTGTGATGCGGCTTGCCCACTCTGCATGGGAGTCCTTCTCCCCTTTCCGGGTCTTCCTAAACTTTCAGCGGTATTGCTTGGGGGTGACCGCATACCGGGCCAGGAGGATTTGGGTAATAAAGGGATAGTCTCTGATCTGCTCTTCTGATACAGCCCGGTAAATATCTGCTGCCTTCCTCACTAGTTTGCTGGCCAGGAAGGTGACCCAGTCGCTGGGGTCCACTTTTTGGAGTAGGCACTGGCACTCAAAGTCTTCTCCCTCTGCTCCCTTCATCTGGGTTCATGGAGGTCGCCCTCTGTCTATTGGCAAAGACATAGGCTTGCACCTCCAAAAAGGTCCTGCTGACAATCTCCTCTGAGGGTTGCTCTCGGTAATATGCCAGGCACCGTTCCAACTCCTTGCGCACTTCCTCCTCATCTCCGGCCCCTGGCTGGGGTTCGTTGCCTCACTGCGTGCATGAGAGCAGCAGTCAATTTGGCCTTGTTATCTTGTTATGCCCACCAGGCGTTATTCCTCTGGCTCCACACAAGTCCTGCAGTGTAGGTCGCTTTAGAGCACTGTAGTCCATGGGTCTGTTGGCAGGGACAGGGCCGGCGCGTCCATAAGGCGGCACAGGCGGCCGCCTTAGGGCGCACCGGCCCGGGGGCGAAATGTCCGGGTGACCGGCAGGAGGGAAGCGCACAGCTCCCCTCTCCTGCCGGTCACTTCTTGTAGCGTGGCCGAGCGCCACCCTGCAGTGCCGCGGACTGTGTGGAGGGGGCGGGGATATGAACGTCATATCCCTGCTCCCACTGTAGCACACAGCGCGGCTGGCGCCCAGCAGGGGCGGAGCTACCACTGGCCCCTTTCTAATCAGCATGGGAGGAAGTCCTCCCAAGAAGACTAGAGCAGCAGAAGGCAGAGAGGAGGGGGGCTGGGCAGGACCAGCTCCTCCAACTCCCAACTACCTCAGGCAGCACTTTGGATCCCAGGTAAGCCCCCCTCCTGAACCTGTTGGTCAGTGTGTCTGTGTGTATCCATGTCTGTCAGTGTGTGTGTGTGTGTGTGTTTGTGTATCCATGTCTGTCAGTGTGTGTGTGTGTGTGTATCCATGTCTGTCAGTGTGTGTGTGTGTATCTATGTCTGTCAGTGTGTGTGTGTGTATCCATGTCTGTCAGTGTGTGTGTGTGTGTGTGTGTGTGTAGTGTATCCATGTCTGTCAGTGTGTGTGTGTGTATCCTGTCTGTCAGTGTGTGTGTGTATCCATGTCTGTCAGTGTGTGTGTGTGTGTGTATCTATGTCTGTCGGGTGTGTGTGTGTGTATCCATGTCTGTCAGTGTGTGTGTGTGTATCCATGTCTGTCAGTGTGTGTGTGTGTATCTATGTCTGTCAGTGTGTGTGTGTGTATCCATGTCTGTCGGTGTGTGTGTGTGTATCTATGTCTGTCAGTGTGTGTGTGTATCCATGTCTGTCAGGTGTGTGTGTATCCATGTCTGTCAGTGTGTGTGTGTGTGTGTGTGTGTGTGTGTGTGTGTGTGTGTGTATCCATGTCTGTCAGTGTGTGTGTGTGTATCTATGTCTGTCAGTGTGTGTGTGTGTATCCATGTCTGTCAGTGTGTGTGTGTATCCATGTCTGTCAGTGTGTGTGTGTATCCATGTCTGTCAGTGTTTGTGTATGTATATGTCTCTGTCCGTGTGTTTGTGTGTATCTAAATGTCTGTCAGTGTGTGTGTATGTCTGTCTGTTAGTGTGTCTTTGTGTATGTCTATCATTGTGTATGTGTGTATCTGTATGTTTGTCAGTGTGTTTGTATATGTCTGTCAGTGTGTGTGTATGTATATGTCTCTGTCCGTGTGTTTGTGTGTATCTAAATGTCAGTGTGTGTGTATGTCTGTCTGTTAGTGTGTCTTTGTGTATGTCTATCATTGTGTATGTGTGTATCTGTATGTTTGTATATGTCTGTCAGTGTGTGTGTATCTATGTCTGTCAGTGTGTGTGTGTATGTAAATGTCTCTGTCCGTGTGTCTGTGTGTATCTAAATGTCTGTCAGTGTGTGTATGTCTGTGTGTCTTTGTGTGTTTGTGTATGTCTATCATTGTGTATGTGTGTATCTGTATGTCTGTCAGCGTGTCTGTATGTCAGTGTATGTTTATCTGTATGTCTGTCAGTGTTTGTGTGTATCTGTATATGTGTGTCTGTCTATCTGAATGTGTATCCGTTTGTGTATATGTATATCTGCATGTGCGTCAGTGTGTGTATCTTTGTGTATGTGTATCACAGTGTGTGCGTGTGTGGCAGTGTATGTGTATATGTGCATATATCTCAGCATTCAAACACCAACACTACACACAAATAAACACTTGCATGCAAACAACAACACTACATACAAACACACCCCTGCATTCAAATGTCAACACTACATACAAACACACCTCTGTATCAGACACCAAAATTATATATAAACACACACCTACGTTCAAAAACCAACACTACACATAAATGCATGCTTGCATTCAAATGCAAACACTACATACAAACACACTGCTACAATCATACAAACATACTCCATACAAACACATGCTTACAGTCAAACACACAAATACTGCTCCATGCTAAATACAATACTGCAAGCATGGGGAATCGGTAGAGCCCCAGCTTTCAAAGCATTGTTGAAGTTGCACGACAGATGGGGATCTATCTTTTAGCCATCCTGTGTACATACACAGACCGTCATACAGAGACATACAGTATGTATGTCTCTGTATGACTGTGTGTATGTATTCAAAAGGAATAAACGCAGTCAACACTCCAATAGTACGGATGGTATATTTATTGATAGGTGAACCACCCCAAAGAAAGTGCGTTGTTTCAGCTCAGCAGAGCCTTATTGCATGAGCTGAAACATCACACTTTCTATGGGGTGGTTCACCTACCAATAAATATACCATCCTTACTATTGGAGTGTTGCCTGCGTTTATTCCTTTTGAAGACTTTACTGGTGGATCCAGCGATGTCCGCCTGACACGGAGCATCCACCACTGTTGATGGCCGGAGCATTTACACGGTATCAGTGTGCAGGGTTATTTGTTTGTCTGTGTATGTATGTCTCTGTATGCCTATCTCTATGTTTCTTTATGTCAGTCTGTATTTCTGTGAGGGCCTGTGTCTGTATGAATGTATGTCTGTGTTTGTATGACAATGTACCTGTATGTGTAGATTGTATGACTGTGTTTGTTTGTGTGCCTTTTATGACTGTGTGTCTGTATATCTTTGTGACTGTGTGCCTGAAAAATTATGTCTGTGTGCTTGTATGGTTGTGTGTCTGTATGTTTGTGTATTTGTGCATGTATGTATTTTTGCCTGTATCTATGTCTATGTGGGAGAAAAAGAGAGATAGATAGGGGCTGGCGGGGAAGTAAGAAATACATAAGAGGTGTTGTAGGAGACACACTAAAGGGGGGTGTAAGGCACAAAGGGGCCAAAGGGATAAGACATTCAAGAGAGTGGATATGCAACACTAATGGGGGTAAGAAATTCAAAAGGGGGCTACGAGACACAGAGGTGAAGATGCATTGTATTTTATTTTGGGGGGGGTGGGGGGGGCGTCAAAATGCATCTTCACCTGTGTAGTCAAAAATCCTAGCACCGGCCCTGGGCAGGGACATGGGATCCCGCCGCTTGCCACCAATTTAAGCGGGACCTGGGTAACCGATGGCTATCCCCTTTAATTAGAATAGGTCAGACCCATTTCCCCAGTAACCGGATGGGACACAGTTCCAGGATACAACGTTTGACAATCTTTATTTGGGTACACCGCTTTGCCTCCTGTTGGCTCCTCCTCCTCCTCCACCGCCGCTTCCACCTACACCGCCACGGTGTATACCCAGATATATCAGAGCTGCTGCAGAAAGTGCGGGCCGTCTGTGCACGCTTTCGGCATTCTCACCCTGCTGCTGCTCACCTGTCTGCGCTGCAGCTTAACTTTGGCCTTCATGCTCACCGCCTCATGAGAGACTGTGCGAGCAGCAGGTGATAGTGGAGTTTCAGATGCAGCATGCACGGGTCAGTTGCTCTGCGGAATAGAGTTTTATTTTTTATATGTCCCAATATTTTGGGGGCTACCCCAATTTAAAAAAATAAAAATAAATAATAATTATGGGTAATAAAGGGATAGTCTCTGATCTGCTCTTCTAATATATATAAAAAACAGTGTTGGCTACCTCCTCCTCCTCCACCGCTGCTTCCACCTACACCGCCACGGCCACCGCCTCCTCAACCTATGGGTCACGTAGTATAAACTATGTACACAATAGCAGAGGCTTGTGAAGGCCTTTTCTCCATGCATCAGGAGTTGAGCTCAGTTTGAACAATGAAAGAATACCCTGCACTCCAACCCTCTCTCAAATGGATAATTCTGTTGATCCTCTTGACAGCCATGCTTTAGATTTTGATTTATGTTCTTCCAAAGCTAAAATCAAAGATTCCATCTAGTGCTATTTTATGGCTCAGCTGTATTTTTATGTTATTTTAAGTGATTTCCCTATCCACATTTGTTTGCAGGGCACTTGGCCTACTCATACCCCCATTTTACTTCCTTTTGCCGCCCTCTAGCCCTTTCCAGGACTTTTTTAGAGGCATTTTAGTGCCTAAAAGTTAGGGTCCCCATTGACTTCAATGGGGTTTGGGTTCGGGGTCAAGATCGAGCCCGGACTTTTTTCCAAAGTTCGGCCGATCCCGAACATCCAGGTGTCCGCTCAACTCTAGTGCTTAAGGCTGTATAAAAAAGATGTTCTGAAGATATGTGTCTGTATGTCTCTACATTTGGAACAGTTAAGAGGGTTGTGTTGTAATATCTGTATATTAGGATGAGACGAGATGGCTGTGCCCTGATTCTTGTGTATTTGGAAAAGATAAGCATGGTGTGCTATGATGTTTATATATTAAGAAGAAGTGAGAAGTCTGTATTTGAAAGCTATTAGGGTGGTCAATACAGAAATACAGCTTTATATCATGTATTTAACATGTCTTTAGGTTAGTATGCCAAGTAATTCTAATTGCTACATATTTTTATTTTGGTGGCTTTATTTTTACTTTGTAACAATTTGCTTATTTGCAATTTGCTGTGTAATATGGCTGAAATATAGATTTATTCTTTTTTTAGGTTTTTGATATTTTATAAGTAACTTTGAAGAACCCACATGGATTATGAATGTCTTTACTATGCTTCTATTGACCTTGAGTTGCACTTGGCAGCTCCCCTGCCTTGTACTAGATTGAAGAATTAGAGAATTTCAGCACACAAGCAGAGAGTCCTTTCTGCAATGTTAGAATCGACCTAGACCAACAATGCAGACAACAATCATCACTGTCTTGAAGGCTCCATGCTGTTTTGGCAGATCGTAAAAGCTATGACAAGGGTCCGAGTTCTATCAGATGTTTCCAAATGTTATAAGGAATAGCTGTCCATGTTATTCAGTTGAATAATTCCGTGACACAAACCCATCTCCATTATATGGACTCCCCTTCCTGTGACATAACTAATGTACACAGAAACAAACAATTACTTTACCCCTTCATGCTCCATAGGGCTTCCTCATAACTTGAATTCAATATATAGATGGAAAAAATAAATCAGAGAAACTTTTGCAACATCATGTATGTATATAAACAAAAAACAGGTAGGTACTCCATTTCCAGTATCACACTGACAGATGGCTCTCAGACTTCTGATATGATTTTTATTAATTCAATCTTTCATAAATATTACTTGCATCTATTCCAAATTTCCATGAGAATTATCGACTGGGTGTGGATCTCCTACACAATGCTTAGCTATCATGCGTGTATATCTTGAAGGAGGAGGTCAAATATGCAGTAACCCTACCAAATCTAGCAAAGTTCCAGAACCAGGCGGTTTTAGGTTAGAAATCAGAGACCCCAAATGCTGTGCTTCGGAGTCTAGATGCTCAGAAAGTCTTTGGCCTAGTGAAACTATTGCCTGCAGCAACATACCAAGAAATGCCTTAAAAATTGCCAATCAGATATACTGTTCTGATAAGCAATTCAAAGATTCAGACAAATGTTGTCGACAACTATTCCGTGGTTGGAAGGAAGGATGGTTGGTTTTACAAGTCAACCCATCACAGTGCATTCTTTTAATCCAATTTTAATGCTGCATGGCTTGCCCACTAAAGACTCTAATGACTTTGAGAAATACATCCACCATAATTGATGCCCCCCAAAAAATGGACTTGGGGCCATTTGGTCCCCTTTGATAGAATTCAATTGTAATCTATACTCTTACGGATTATCGCTGAGTACAGATAATCAAAGTGCAAGACTTATTCATAGGAGAAAGAGTGCACCTACAATGTGTGACTTGTTTAGGACAACAATTAGATCTTACATGCTTGTAACACATTCCTAAATCCATTTATAAAATTTCAGAGAAGAACAGAAAAATGTATGCTGACTGACACTACTAGTTACAAGCTGGCCAAGACACAGGTACTCTGATAAATACATTAGTAATATGTGCTGCAATCCATTTAAATTTTGTGCAATCACCTATACACAAATTTAAAAAAACAACAACAGCACAATAATTGCCCTTATAATACCTTTCATGCATGAATGACTTCTCATTCAGATTTGAGAAAAGGAGGGTGGGAGACAGAAGAAGTGGAAATAGAAGACATAGATGGGGGATGGGTTTTCTCGGGACAATTAACCAAGGTATTTTTAACCTCTTAAAGATAAATGTAAATCAATAACATAAATAAAATATGATCTCTAAGTCAGCATGAAATGTCTATTTATTATCACCAGCTAGGCCAAGTCTGCAATAGTTATTTTGGATGTCCCATCTCTCCCATAAGCAAATTAAGCAAAATAATGTAGCTCTGGTGCTATGTGAATGTAAGTGATAATAATGTATTTTCATGTGTTCCGCTATACACATACATTCCACACAGTACAATGAATTTTATCACTGTAGGAATCTGTGACATTATAACCAGTTTTACTGCTGTGGAGTTCTATGATACATTCATGCACCCATAAACATTAATTGTCAGTTTTATTACTGTGGAACTCTGTGATACATTCATGCGCAACATTTTGCATTAAATATTATTGTGAATTGTAGTGCCTTGTGAGTTCGGTAACATAATTCTTAGCTCGGCCAAGCTGAGAATCATGGTTGTTACAGTCCACAGCATCTTGTAAATAGGTACCTCTCAATCCCAAGTCACCCCCAACCTTTCAACAAACAAACCTTATCTATATCTCATGCTAATGAGTCAATCAGCCCATACAAAATGTACCACCCCATTACCGCTCACAAAAACAGAGGTCATTATTTGGTCTTTGTATATTAGAACTATAGGAAGCCTTATTCCTTGTATATCTACACATTATGAAAGAGCTGCTTGTATGCTTAGAAACTGGTGAGTGTATCAATCTATGGATAGGACCATACTCAACCCTTTAGGAGCTGTCACTTTATTGCACTGTAAAAAAAAAAAAAAAAAATGAGTGCCTGTGAGATCTCCAATTACTATAAGACAACAAAATCTTAGAACAGGAATAACCAGTAGTCAAATTATTGCTGCAATGCACGTCCCATGATTTCTCTAAATCCATGAAAATTTGACAGCTCAATGTTGGCTGCCGTTGCTTCTGTGAAGATTATAGTGGCCAATTTATCGAGAGTCAGGAACTTAAAGGGTAAAGTTATCAAAGGAAGTGAGCTTCCCAAACATCTGCATTGTCAATGATGTCCATCTGCACTTTCAATGAGTCTAAAATCAGCTTTATAACAGGGCTTCAGAGAATAACACAGTGATTTTGATATTTTGACCTGCAAATTTTTACGCCCATTTACTTCCCAGTGTGTTCTTGTCCCAAAACTACATTCTACAACGCCGTAAAGGCACAAACATTGCTGATTTGTGAAGTGTTTACAATTCAGCTCTTTTGACCTAAAAATTGTTATTCCCTTTGAATTACTGACAAATCACACTTTAGTGAATAACTCTGTTTGAAATCCAAATTAGACAAGATCCACAGGCAACCTGATTAAATTACTTTTTCCTCGTACCTGCTGCTTTCGTTGGCAAAGATTCCTCTTCTCCATGAAGAGGTCTTAGATCCAGCAAGAAGACTAGCAGCAAGCAGATAATGGTCTTCATTCTGATAGCAGGAAAAAAAGCAATGCCTGTAGTCTCTTACATTTAAATCTTTGTCCTGGGATGGGTGGAGCAGAACGACATGGGAGATTAACTTGGAAGAACCTCCCCATTCACCTGTTACATGACTTTGTGCCTCAGGCACAAGGCAAGGAATTTTGTGTCTCCAAAGCATCAGATCTCTTAAACTGGTTATTTTCAAGTGGTTTGTAAACAGTGGAAAAATTGTACAAATGTTGAAAAAGGAAACAGACGATTGCGACATGTTGCAGTTGTTTAGAAGAACAAGATGAGCTCACAGTATCGAGAATGCTTTCAAACACCACTTTACCCATGCATCGAGATCATATTATTGTTCACGTAAAGGGCATACATTACTCACATGCTCATGTTCCCCAGAAAAAAATAAATAAAAATTATACAGTAACGTGTCACATTCATATATTAAAAAAATTAATTAAAAATGCTACAAGACAGTTGGCACCCTTTGCACAAACAGAAACTAAAGTATGTTCCTTGAAAAAGTTCCAGAAACTATTTACTTTGGTATGAAGATCATTATTATGGAATTTTTGCATCGATTTCAACAATATAATCGGGGCAAATCTTGGTTAAAGCACAGATGTTTGTGAAACGTTTGCAATAGTGTTGGTGGCCTAGGTCAAGTAGTTAAAGCAAATAGCCAGCAGAATAATTAGTTAAAAAAGACATTGTGGTTTAGACCTCGCCTGTAAGCTCAGATACTACAGGCATACAGTAATACCCAGAATGTTTTGGGTGACTAGTTTTTAAATGTTATTGATTGGTTGATAATATTATTATGAGTATGTTTATTTCAAGATTAGAGACAGCATACTAGTTTATAAAAGCATACGTGGCTGGCTTATAAGGTCAACAACCACTTAGAAAAGGTCACTCCCAACCAAGACTATACACATGAAATTTACTTTGTTATGTTTACATAAAATATGATAACATATTACAGAATTAGATCTGCCATCACGATCAAAATACTGATTAACACTTGACTCTCTGGCTACCGATCAGACAGGAAATCGCCAGCTTTTCACATACTTTCATATTCATGATAAATAAATGAGAGAGGAGAGAGAATGTGTGTGTGTGTGTTTAAATTTACAATTTACCAATCAGAATTCATCTGTACCTGCTACTTAAAGGGACACTATAGTCACCAGTGCAACTACATGTATTTCTGACCCTATCGTGTTAACACCACCATCTAGCCCCGCTGGGCAGGGCCGGACTGGGACCTAAAATCAGCCCTGGAAAAAAATTCTATACCAGCCCAATAATGCGTCGCGCCAGCATAGTGTGCTGATAAAGAGGGTGAAAAAATAACTTGAAATTGAAAACTCTTACTCCAACGAAGGAACGCATATAGGGCTTCAAAATAAACAAAAGAGCGCCTTTATTTTAAGTAGACGTACATTTGCATGTAATATTTCAGTACAACTACCTTGGCCTATTAAGGACATTTTAGTAATGGTACTGAAATGCTGAATGTCTGCAGTTACACAACTAAAAAAATGAAGTGATCTTGTTTATTTTGAAGTTCTATGGGTGCGCTCTTCACTTTGAATATGTTATTGTGCATGAGTATGCAACTAGCAACAAGACAGGGCCAATACGTGCTCATTATATATATATATATATATATATATATAATGACTTATTTAATGACATTTATGTGTGTATTATGCATAATAAATGTATATTACTATATGTGTAAATATTATAGGCATAATTATATGTTACTAATACACACATCAATATACATGCATATATATATATATATGTGTGTGTATTACTGTCAGGATCACATCAATTTACGTCTATTACCTTTACCTCGTTTAGTGTATCTTGTCTCCAATTGTCTCCTTTTTTTCTCTTACAGCGACCCTTGTGCATCTTTTACTTCATCCCAGTCCCTGTGTGTTTCTTTTTACCCTTCTCCAGCCTCTGTATTTCTCTTTCCCCCAGCCCCTTTTGTGTTGTTCTTAGCCCCAGCCACTTTGTCTTTCTCCCCTTCCAAATCTCATCTGTGTGTCTCTTTCTAACTCCAGACTCTGTGTGCCTCTTTCTCTTCTCCCAGTCACTCTCTGTCTCTTTTTCCCCAGCCCAGTGTTGCCTCCCACAAATCTTGTGTCACTTTGTTCCCCTTCCCTACTGCATGTCTCTGTCAGGGTACCTTTGGTGTCTACCTCGGAGGAGGTTAGACACCTAGACGTCCATCCTCCCAGGGGGGCTGACTCACCCGATCCTTGCACTCCTCCCGGTCGTTTACACGCCGGCCGCGATAGCTCCGCCTCCTTTTATGACGCGGCGCTCAGTAGCCGACGTCATGACGGCAATCACGTTCCGACCCGTCAATCACGGCAACCAAGTGCCGAACAACCAATCAGGACCCGTTGGGGGCGGAGCCAACAGTTAAAGAGCCAAGGTATAAAAAAGGGTTCTGTGGAATGATTCATTGCCCTGTCGTGGTTCTAGCTAGTCTGGTCACTCAGTGCAATTACCTCTATTGTCTTTTGGTTCCTGACTCGGCTTGTATTTTGACCCTGCTTTCCTCTCTTGTCCTTTTGACTCGGCTTGTCTCTCGCTTACCTGATCTCTCGTTCCCTCGACCTCGGCTTGTCTCTGACTATTCTTTTGCTTTCTCCTTACGTTAGTCCGGCCATTCTAAGGTCCGGTATACGTACCTATCCCCTGTTTGTATTCTGCGTGTTGGATCCCTGTCAAGATCCTGACATTACGACAGGGCCAATGGATCCTGCAGGTACAAACTCTCAGGTCGGTTCTCCTGACTCTAGATTTGAGGCCATGGATCATAGAATGGACCAGATGGCTCTAGCTCTGCAAGCATTGCTATCTCGTCCTAGTAGTCACTCAGAGGAGATGCGTACCCCATCTATCTCTCCTATAAGTACAGGCCTAGAGGTAGCCACAGTGGCTACTTCTTCCCGTGTTACGTCCCCGTCACGCTATGGCGGCGCTCCTGACACTTGTCGAGGTTTTTTAAACCAGATAGGTATTCATTTTGAATTACAACCCCACGCCTACCCTACTGACAGGGCAAAGGTTGGATTTATAATTACCTTGCTCATTGACAAGGCACTTAGATGGGCTAACCCCCTGTGGGAAAATGATAACCCGTTAGTTTATAATTATAATGCTTTTGTCGCTGCATTTAGGAGAGCTTTTGACCCTCCAGGAAGAAAGGCCAATGCAGCTAGACTACTGTTACGTCTTAGACAGTATAACCGAACCCTAGTGGATTATGCCTTGGAGTTCAGATCCTTGGCGGCAGAGGTCAAGTGGAATGAACAGGCTTATATGGACGTATTTATGAACGGGTTATCTGATGAGATTTTAGATGAGGTGGCCACAAGAGATCTTCCTGAAAATTTGGAGGATCTGATTTCATTTATTTCCCGAATAGATGAACGTATGAGACAGAGGCAGAATATTCGGGATAGAACCCGCAGATCCTCCATAAGACTAGCTCCCTCATTTCAGACTTCTGATTCTACTACTTTAGCTCTCCCAGAACCTATGCAAATAGGTCATACTCGACTCTCAGAGGAGGAAAGACAGTACAGGAGAAGGGAGGGTCTTTGTATGTATTGCGGAATTAGAGGTCACCTACGCCTAAATTGCCCTAACCGGCCGGGAAACGCTCGCACCTAAGTTTCTCAAGAGGACAGGCCTTGGGTGTTTCTATTTTGTCCTCTATTTATGATTATAAAGATCATAGGCTTCTGATACCTGTTTCTTTAGCTTGGGAAAAGGGAGTACTTAATGCTATGGCTTTGATAGATTCCGGAGCAGCTGAAAGCTTTATTGACCAAGCCTTTGTCACTAACCATTCTATCCCATCTCAGCTAAGGGATACACCCTTGGCCGTTGAGGCCATAGATGGTAGACCATTATCTGAACCTGTGATTTTTCGTGAAACCATACCAATTAAGTTAACCACTGGTATCCTTCACGAGGAAAGAATATCCCTCATGCTGATCTCATCTCCTTCAGTTCCTATAGTCTTGGGGTATCCCTGGCTTAAGAAGCATAACCCTATCATTGACTGGGAACTGGGTGAGATAGTCTCCTGGGGTCAGGGTTGCCAGAAAGGATGTGTGCAGAAAGTCTCACCAATTTGCAGGGTTGACGCCCCGGTTAACTCTTCCCAACCTACAGATTTACAGATACCATCACAGTACCAGGATTTAAAGGCAGTCTTTGACAAAAAGAGGGCTGATACTTTACCTCCACATAGGTCTTTCGACTGTAAAATTAGACTCCTACCTGGTACTATGCCTCCGAGGGGTACGGTATATCCTTTATCCACTAAGGAAAACTTAGTCCTAGAGGAGTACATACGTGAAAACCTAGACAAAGGTTTTATTAGGAGATCATCTTCTCCGGCCGGGGCCGGTTTCTTTTTTGTAGATAAAAAAGACGGCACTCTACGGCCTTGCATTGATTATCGGGGCTTGAATAAGATAACTGTTAGAAATGCTTATCCTATTCCTTTAATTACTGAGCTCTTTGATCGACTGAAAGGCTCCAAGATTTTTACCAAGTTAGATTTGAGGGGAGCTTATAACTTGGTGAGAATTCAGCAGGGAGACGAATGGAAAACAGCTTTCAATACCCGTTATGGCCACTATGAATACACGGTAATGCCCTTCGGGCTTTGCAATGCACCTGCAGTATTCCAGGACCTTATTAATGAGGTTCTTAGGGAATTTCAGCATGAATGCGTTATAGTATATTTGGATGATATACTAATACACTCTAGAGAGATTGAGACTCACCACAGACAAGTCAGAAGGGTACTGCGCAAACTGTTACAACATGGATTGTACTGCAAATTGGAAAAGTGTAGCTTCGACCAATCTCAGATAAACTTTCTTGGCTACGTTATTTCTGGAGACGGATTTAGGATGGACCCCATTAAACTCCAATCGATTTTAGATTGGCCATTGCCCAGGGGACTCAAGGCCATTCAGAGATTTATCGGATTTTCCAATTATTATAGGCGCTTCATTAAAGGTTACTCTTCTATTATTGCTCCTATTACTAATATGACTAGACAGGGGGCTGATACCAAGACTTGGTCCACAGAGGCTCTCTCTGCTTTCAAAACTCTCAAGGAACATTTTG